CTTATGCTTTTGTCAAAGCTGTGCACGTCATAGCTGGGTGCATGGTACACGACCCGGTGGTTAAGAGCCTCTGATATGAACTACTACTACTACTACTATTGTTGCCATGCCATGTGCACAACTCTATGTATTCAACTCAGCTTTCATTAGAGAACAGTGTGAACTGTTTATTATTGCTAGAGAAGCTTAAGGAAAACAGAGGTACATTATGTGACCGACAGTTAAAACTCTAAATTTATACTGTACATCAGGAACCTGTCAAAGTTATGAAGAAATGTACTGCATGTGGTTTTAAAGTTCCATATTCAGAGATGAACCAAAACAACAGATCATGTCACCTAAACTCTGCTCTCCGTAGAAGTGAAGTGGTAATAATAAGTTAGTCCACCCACAGAGACACACCAGATCACAAATGTCAGCACAAAAAATTAATTACCTCTTTTTTTATATTCTAAAACAGCGTGTATTTTCTTGTCTTCATGTAAATTTAAACTGTACTTTGTATTAAACTTGTCCAATGAAATGAACTTGTAAGTATTATTATCGCTGACCTTTATCAATACCTTCATAAAGAGACACTGCCTCACATCAAAAACGTTCTTCCATGACTGATTGTCAAATGGGCTGAAAAAACACAAAATGGAAAAAAACAAACACTTTTCTATTTATATTTCTATTAATCTGTGATTTTAGAAGTAAATACCTTGTCTCAAACAAATATTAAACTCACAATAAGTTCACATCTGTCAACAAGAGCTACACTTGAGATTCAAGGCAAAGTGCTAACACAAAAAAAAAACTAAATTGTGGCGACAGGGACGATGCTTTGGTGGTCTGCTGTGAAAACCTGACTGTACATGCGCACAATTTATTTGCATACTTGTCTGTGCAAAAATCCAACATGGTCTCATCTGATCCGTAGGCAGACCTTATCTTTGTGTGTTTAGCTAGAATCCTTCCAATGACTGAATGTTAACCCTTCAGAAATTCATCATTCGCCTGCATTGATTTAAAGATGAGTGAAGTTATTATGCATTAAAGCGTCATGTCAAAGCCCTGCCACGGCGAGATAGCAGCCTTATCTCTACTGGAGCTGATAAGAGACAACATGGGGGAGAGACAACGGTGGCGGCAGTGGACGGGGGAGGTTGGGTGATGGAGAGGTAGAGGTAGAGACTGGGAGGGGAGGTAAAAGAAGGGAGGAAGAGGTACAGGGTGTTTGGTAGTGGAGAGGTGGCGCCGTGGAGACACTGTACAGTATAGTACAAATAGTTCATTCGAACCAGAGAAAAATACAAGAGGCAGCCAGAGCGTCTGCTGTTCCCTGTGGTATCAAACCTCTATTCACAAGACTTCTTGAAGTTGCTTTCTCTGACCGGCTTTTATTTGCATTTTCTATTCTATTATCCACTGTCTAATGGCCTGTCTCAGGTTTTTCTCTTTTTTTATTTTTTATTTTTATCTCCTCACTCACGCTCATTCTACCTTTGGCTGGCTGGCTCACCCCTCCTCTCTCTCTCTCTCTCTCTCTTCAGTAGGTCTTTGAAGGGAGGTCACAGGGGAGACAACGCAAACACAGGCCCTCTGAATGGAGAATAAGAATAGGACAGCTGTTGGAGATGACAGCGATGGCTGTTAAAATGCAATCTGTCTCTCTTCCCACTGGCCTGTTGCGCACACACATGCACACATGCATAGACCACGGCCTTTTCACAGAGGCCATAGTGTCACGGTGACACTCCCAACTGTCAAACACGGATGTGTGAGCACACACTTGTCATGATAGGCGCACACACACACAAGTGTATATATTCACACATGCTACATAATGAGGATAAAATGAACAATGGCCAACGGTGAAACACATCTAGGTGCCTGTACTGACTAACAATGGAGAGAAATGTAAACATGCCAGTGTCTGCGGCATCATGTGTTAATACAACAACACAAACATGGCCATTCACAGCAGTGAAATAGTATAGAACTGCTGTAAATGGTGAAATTAATTATAGTATTTATAGAAAGAAAAAGTGTAAATGTGACTCATTGTAAATTTGTTTACAAAAGGACAAATGAAAATGACAGGCAGAGGGCAGAATCACTGCTGATGAACACAGCCAAGTACGATCACTAATAATGAGTGACTAAATAACATTTAAAATTTCTGTATGGTTTTATTACTTTAAATATTCTGCTTCACCTTTCAAAGCACAGTCTTTTGCATCACTTTGTGCTTTTCCAGCAGCTCTCAACAACATCCTGCTCCAAAGGTTTAAAGTCTATTTAAATTTGACTGAATAAGCACATCTCTCTACAGTGACTGATAGTTCTATCCCTCATGCCATTAAGTTTCTCACTTTCTCCAGGCAGATTTAACAACCACGCTGCACCCTACCCCTGAAACTCTGACAAGTTACACTGTATTTTTTCTTGTATGTCTGAAGGATTTATTGTGTGGTAACACATCTATTTATCTCCTGCAATATGGTACATTGTTACTTTATGGTGATTGTGTCTTTAATTGCTAGAGGGAAAAAAATTGAGAATTGAGAAAAGTGGTATGCGAATGAAAAGTGGTATGCGAATGAAATCAACACTTTGGAACAGGTCAGAATCTCACGATTGCCTGTGTATTTAGGGTAACAGTGAGTTTATAACTACACTACAGGTATTCTTGTCACAGAGCTAATGTTGTGTCATAACAAGAACCCATTTATGTGGGTAGTAAGCCAGTGCTACAGTATTTCCTGTCGTGTTGTGACAGTATAGACAGTATAGAGTTCAGTTCTTTTGTACTGTATGTTGATTTGCTCTAGTTTATGTGGACATTTCATCCTGTTGGCAAAGAGAAGAACCTAATGAAAGCAAAACCATCTTAGGTCAACACACATCAGTCAAGTTCCTTGCTGTTTTGTTCATTTAGTTTTTGAAGCATATTGTGGGAAGAATATTCTTGAAAAAAAACATTGTTAATAACAAATGAAAAACGAAGCTCATTCTCTACTTATCCTCCATTTCAGTGTTGTTTCCATCAGAGAGTTTCTTTCACACCAGGTCACAACCTGTTTCTTTGTCTCGTCTTAGGACTGAAGTTGAGTTTTCTTACATTTTTTTTTTGGTTTGTTGAAACTTTGACATTTGCTCAGATTTCGAAATTCTTCATTGTTGAGAATTGAAAATTCAGATGGAATACAACGTAACACATCTCCACATTTGACAGCGATATAATGATAAAACCTGTTAATGTTGTTCTAGACGCCTCAGAGATGTGTCTTAACATGTTTTAATTATTAAAATTAGACACCTATTCAAATGATAATGTCTTAGAACTTTATGACAACCTCATATATAGTTTGTTGTCTCATATGACATTTGTCATTGTTAAAGCACAATAACTTTGAAGATGACACACATTCTTATTGCCCAGAGATGTATATGGACACAAGTGAGGAGAAAACAACATCAGACGATGTAATAGAATAAAATAATATAGAATAGAACAGAGCACAACAGGATAGAGCAGTGTATAATAGATTAGAATAGAATGGAATACTGTAGGCAGGACAGAACAGGACAGAACAAAACAATAGAACAGTATAGAATAGAACAGAACAGAATAGAGCATCGTATAGAATAGAACAGAATAGACTGTTAGATACAAAAAGCATAGAACTATCAATGATACACAGCTAAACTTTTAGCATGAAAATACTTTCAATCATAGCATGAAAAACAGTCTGCACAATGGGTTGAAATAATAAACGCACAAAACTATAGATGCACAGTATATTGATAAGAAAATTAAAAAATCTAGTGGATAAGTAAAGTGCATTATTCTTGTTCGATGAAACAGAAGATTAGAATCAAACCCACAGCACTTATGATGGCTAGGAGCCACAGCCAGTACAATAATCTCCACCAAACCCAAGAGAACATTCATATATAGTAAAAAGGTCTTTGAAAATCCAACTTGTACTAAAAACAATTCTAACTATTTGTGGACAAAGACAAGTGATTGGACAAAGGACGTCCTTAAAGGAGAGAAAATGAGACGGGGAAAAAGAGGATGTTTAAAAGTCTATTAGTCAACCAGTAATCAGTGCAAATAACTGACGGATGACTTTCAGGTGGGGATGGTGTACAAAGAGGGGGAAAAGGGAAACATTAGAGAAGGTTGGCTGTATCTCTGCCCTCCACACCCCCTCTGATGAAGGAGGGAAGAAGGAGGAGGAGGTTCAGAGGAAAGAAGAGCAAGAAATGTCAGGTAACAATAGTCTTCAGTGCTACTGTGTGTTGGGTATGTGTGTGTGTGTTATTTCCGAGTGTGAGTTTGAATGTGTGAGCTGTATCTCCAGCACCACACTCCACTGACAGCAGGAGATAAACATAGGCCTGTGCTACTGACCACATGATTTATCAACATGAATTTCACTCCCCCTTCACTGTCCCTGCCCCCCCCTCAAACCCTTTCTCTCCATCTATCTGTCTTCCTCCTTCACCCTCTCTCTCTCTCTCCCCCTCTCTCACACACACACAAACTGTGGAGACAGTGCTGGAGCAAAACATACACAATCACATGCACGCACACACACACACCAGTCCACTCATTAAGTGTCAACATTTACTAATGAGAAATAAAGTGACTGTCTGAGTACTGCGTGTAGGATATAGGTGAGAGGGCAGTACAACAGCAGACACAAAGGGAAGAGGATAAAACAAAGGGAAATGGGAAGGAACACAAGGGAGAAGAGAACATGAGAAGGAACATATTTTAGGAAGAAAATGATGAAAGAAAATGATAAATCACCGCGACGGTAAAATTCTATTGGGAAGTGAATAAAAATCATTGACCATGATCAGACCGTATTGTTAACAGCAACCTTTATAAAGTATAACCCTGTATGAAAAGGACGGCTCTCTGGATGTACAGAATATTGCAGTTACACAGGAAACCTTGATGTACACACACACACACACACACACTCACACACACACATCACAATTAGTTGGTTTCCTCTCCTTGGTTTGCTCGAGCAGGTCCCTGGTGTTGAAAAGGGTGTTAACACTTTGTCTTCCTGCCTCCTCTCACTTCCTTCCTTTCCTTCCTCCCTTTATTAAGTTCACATCAGACCCTCAGCTCAGCGCCCACTTGAAGCCAGACTTGGGCAAAAAGTGCCAGACGCTTACAGCCAGGCCAGGGGCTCGCTCTGCTGGAAATGGAGATGGAAAGAAGGAAGAAATAATGATGTAAGTGAGGTTGGAGGTGTGAGTGCATGTGTGTGTGTGTGATCATCAAGAGTGTCCTGCTTAAACAAGTGTTTGCTTGTTTACTTGCTTTTGGACTGTGTTGATTGTCCTTCTCTAACCTCACTTTGCTTGATGACTGTGACTTTGCAGACGTGCTAACAACGTTGGGCACGTGACTTTAAAAAAAAAATTGTTATAGTTACTAGTTTCTTCTCCCGAAATGTAACTGAATTACTACACTATAATGTACCTAGTTACTGGGAAAATGTAAAAATTGCAATACTTTTTTTTATTTTAAATGTCTAAGAATTTTTTTCAGGTACTTAGAATTTACGGAACCTCAACAGACCACAAATAGTACATATACTGTACTTCAAGTATTTTATTCATAACAAAAATACAGTTTAACAATGAGCTACTTAAATGTCTCTGTAATACTGTACGGTTCAAGCTTACTGTTATTCAAATTAACAGTTTAATATGTTTATAGTTTGAATATTCTTAAAAACTGGAGCAGAAAAATCCAGCTTTAGCTATTTGAACGGCGTGGCTCCATGTCGTTCTTCGTTAGCGGTTGCTCACGTTAGCCACACCTGGCCCGCTATCATCGTCAACAATGTCAACTATGGTGTTTTTGCCGACTAGTTTTGTATAAGTTGTTAAAAGACACTTTATGCGATTTAACTTAGTTAAAATTGTCGTGGACAAACGTTCAACACTTTTACCTCAAAGTGACTGAAGTACTGCCTGTTTTTCCGCCTTGCAATCGACATTTGTCTCTTCAGACTCGCCATTTCGGCCGCTTATCTTTGTACGCTCACAGCCGGTACATGTTTTGGCGTAAATGCTGCCTCTAATTGGCTTACCACGAAAGCTTACTCTGCTTTAGCCAATCATCATAAAATGTGTTTTTGTGTCGTTCCTCACTCCTCTTAAAAAAAACAAAACAAAAACAGAAAAGTAGCGCTCTTGTGGCTAAGAGTCAAGTGACAACAGCTAGAAGGAGAAGCTTTGGTTTATAACGCGTCCAATTTAATTTTCGGTAGCGGTAATGGCGTTGTAACGTTGGAAAATATTAACCCGTTACTGAAAGAAAATAACGCCGTTAGTAACGTCGTTTATTTTAACGGCGTTATTCCCATCACTTCTTACCCACCTTATTACTTCATACATGCTGCCACTAATTAAACAGAGTGAACCTGAAGTAAAATGTCAAAACATTAGAAGACATTAAAGTCTGATAAACACAATTTGACTCAACACTGATCCCGTTATGTTTACATGTCAGTTTTTTAAAGTAGTGATTTGATCTAATTAAACTTACTTTTTTGCCAATGTTTGCAGGTTAAGTAGGAAGTATGTTTTCAACTTGCTTATCAACAACTGAAGGACTGCAGCGCCCCTTGCTTCCCCCCAGGACCTAGAAGCCTTTCTTTATTAAGATATTGTGTTTCACATGAATTACCTACAAAATGAATTACTAAACACATGCAGAGTACAGCAAACACACAGTGAATGTCACTCTTTCTCAGATGCACACTCTCTCTGCCACGATCATGTATTTGGCTGATCTCAGAGAGCAGCTGTCAATATTAGCAAGACATTCCTAGATCTTTTGTACTTGTCTGATGGCTCTACACAAGTGCAAAATTGGTTACTTTTTGAAGATCAAAGAAGTTAAGCACAGGGAGCAGGGATGCAGATCCAACATGGTTTTCTCCACATTCAAACAAACCTTTATCCTGTCTGCTGTGAATAAAAGTGGTTAAAGGCTAGGCTATATAACATGACAGCGTGAGTTTTAATACACTTGTACACAGAAATCACTAATATTGGCAACTCAACACTGTAAAAAGAAAACTGAACTGAACAAAAATGAAGTCGATCTATTTTTGGAACTTATCCCTGTTTGCATGCACTGTGTATTGATCAGGATTGTTTGTAACAGACTGCTGTGAGGTCCATTAACCTGTGGTGATGACAAAGCATTAAGTGACTAATGTGTCCCCGGAGGCCGTGAGGCCAGAGATGGATAAGTCAGAAAGTTCAAGAGACAATACTGCCAATGCTCTGCACCTTCTAGACAGACAGAGTAGTAGTGTAATGGAAGCTGACAATGGATGTCACAATGACCTAATCACACAAAGACGACTGCACAGTTTGGTTTAAATATGGCTTCAGAGACTACTGTGTCACAGTGATAGTGTGTTTTATGACCACATGTTTGTTTGTGCTCTGTTCTTGTCCTAACGACCATTTAGTTCTACACCCACAGGCTTATTCGCACAGTGGTGCTCAATTGTTCTTAAGGACTCAAGTAGGACCAGTATGGGCAAATTTGTTTTTTCTAACTGTTAAATGATTTCCTTTGAAACAACAATGCATATTTCAAAAGTACTTGTCAAATGTTGTGAACTGTGAGGTCATTTAAAGTTAAATGTTTTTGGTGTTTATTTGAAATTTTCCTTCATTACCTGTGGGTCTGTTTACCACCTATCAAAGCGTTTGACTGCCTCTGGTGACTACACCTGTAGCCCCCCGCTTCTTTAGTGTAATCTCAGGACGTACACTGTTATTGTCACTGATAGAAGCGAAAACTATGTAATCTCTCTGCACCTGGATAGTTTGTCATCACGACAGATACATAAGGAGGGAAGAAAGGAAAGTCGGGGGTTTATCTACACACATTTCAATGAGGTGACTGGAGGTAAAGGATGCTCCTTTGTTTCTGTCTCTCTCTCTCTCTCTGATAATGGAATACAACACCTCCCATCATCTACCTGTTATTTCTTATTTTATGTTAAGCTGTGGAGCCGTGTTGTCTCTGTCATAATAACAGGCATTTGATCCTGACCACTGTAGAGTGACTCTATTCTGCCACAAATTTCACCTCTCAATTTATTTTCAAATATGACACACACACACACACACACACATATATATTCCTTATGCCGCTTTCAGTTCGTTTGTATTACTTGTTCTTTTGAACCCTTTATGCCGCTTTCAGTTCCTTTGTATTACTTGTTCTTTTGAACCCTTTCTTAATTCAATTGGGCTGGACTGGTTTCAGCCTCTATTATTTCCTCATCATATTCCCTCCTTCCATAATTACAACTTATTAATTTTAAATGATAGCCCTAACACGTTGCATGGTTTTAATACAGCCTGTTAATATGAGAGGTAATTTATGGGGTGTGGGTGGGACGGGAAGGATGATGGAATGAGTGTCGTCCATCACCCAAATCATTAGAGAGTGAAAGCTCTTCTTCACTCTCACACCATCAAAGAAAGAGACACTCAGACACTCTTCAGTGGTGACACCGGTGAGTGTCAGGTAGCCCTCATGCTGCTATAAAGACTTTCCGTAACTACACGGTACAGGAGGAAGGAAATGCACACATTTGAATTATTCAATTAGAAGTATACATGGTAGCAGGGTGAGTCCTGGGAGGATCCTGAAGTAAATATATTCTTACATCTCCATTTACATTCTGTCTCTGCCTCCTTCCCTTATTTCCGTCTTCTCTCCTCTCAACTCTCCTCTTTGTGCGCGGTGCCCCATTTCAGGGGCTTTTCAGGGCTGAAGTGGCGCTTGGCTATGCTGAAGTATCTGCACTGCTGTGCCTGAGCCTACAATTCACTGACTGTATGTGTGTGTGTGAGTGTGTGTAGTGTGTCTGATCCTGCAATTCACCAATTTCATCGCTAATTAGCCCACAAAGGCTACCGGCAGGGAGGAGCAGAGAGAGGAGGAGGGAGATGAGAGAGTGAAGAGGGGTGGCATATGCGGGAGGTCCAGGCCTGGGGGGGGTGGCAGTTCTGGCACAGCTGAGACATATGGCACGAGACCAGACAGAAGCTTTGTGCTTGTGTGTGTGTTTGTGTGCGTCTGTGAAAGAGAGAGAGAGAGAGAGAGAGAAAGCAGCGATGACAGCGAGACAACAAGACAACGAGAGAGAGAGAGAGAGATGGTGGACACAATGTGTCAGTCTGTGTATCTGTAGCAGCCTGTCGCAGCTTTTGTCCCATGACCACTCTCTGCTCTGGTGGTGACCGGAGTAGCTACAGCTGTAGTTCAGTGAGTGTGAACTTCAGAGGCTGGTCCCATCCTGCCCAGTGCTCCACTGGCACAGACACATATGTTAGCTGTCTCCCATCACTGGCTTTCACTGTGTGTATGTGTGTGAACATTTCACTTCCCACTTGCCAATTGTTTCACAGCGTATCAGACAGGGGCCCTCCACGGAGGCGGCTGCCTGGCAGTCGACCCCGCAGAGATGTGGAGGTTGTCCAGCATTCGGTTTTGTTTGTTGTTTTTGGTTGGTATTTATGAGTCTGTTCACATAGTCCATATGTTTATTTACATGCTCAGAAAAAGATATGTTGAATGTAGAAGAGCAGTGTTTTCATATATATATATATATATGTGTGTGTGTGTGTGTGTTCAAGCTAAATAAAAATATTAAAGACTAAGATTCACCAACTGTATTGGGTGAATCTTAAATGTTGAGTTATAATTTTGTGTAATTTTTGAAACTTTTTTCCATATTAAAAATTCCATCACTTGTATTAGGCAATGAAAATAAAAACAAGTGTCAAACACAGACAAACGTCTAACTGTTTGTGTGCTGAAATGTATGTCAAAATAAAAATAAACTTCATGTTGTTTAGAGCTTCCAGTCTTTTTATTACAGTTGAACCAGGTTTTTAATCATGTTTGATTATGATCACAATTAATCATGACTAATCAGGATCAACATGATGCACCACATGGTGGGAGGGAGTCTGAGTCTGTGGTTCAAGCCCCAGTACTAACTAATGTTCTTGTATGTTCTCCTGTGTGTGTGTATGTGTGTGTGTTTTCCACAGCATTCAAACCCTGCCAGAACTCAGTTAATTGGACACTGTAAACGAATTTTTTTGATCCATGTGTGTGTGAATGGTTGTTTCTCCAGTGGACTGGTGTCCGGGGCCAGTCCTACCCTTGACCCCTGAGGACTGCTAGAACTGGCTCCAGCTCCCCCTAGGAGCATTTGACGATAAATAAATGAAAATTCATATGAAATATAACAATGTAATAAAATATATGTTTTGGGACATTTGCAGACATTCTAAATATATAAACGGCACGCTCCTTTGCCCTCGCTCTTTAAAATGATCAAAAATACATAATCAACCTTTACGTGGTCAGAATGCAGACACAGAGAGAAAGAAAGAAAAGGGAAAGTCTGCTTGTTGACATTATTCTCTCCCACCGATGCCCATTTAGCTGGCTGAGTTAGAGAGGGGCTTGGGTCTGAGCATGAGTGATTGCTTCCTTGCCCTGTCTTTTCTCACAGCTCACCACTGATGGATTAAAGCTCTGGACAGGTTTCAGCCCTATTGATCTTAACTGCCATGGCTGCTCACAGCGTCCGTGTTAGGGAGGATCAAATGGGATGGAGACCATTTGGGGGGAGGAGGAGGTCTAGTTGGTCAACTTTTTCAGCAAACTCGCAAGACACACATTGTTAAAGTCTGTGTTTGCTTTGAAAATGCTAAGCTAAAGTAAATGTGCTACATTTATTCATCAAGCAAAGATTTCCAATCAGATTATAAAAATATCAGTGTTATCATGCATTTCCCACAGTCACCAATACATGTTTGTAATTAGCATGAGCACATTAACCTGTCTATCTATCTATCTATCTATCTATCTATCTATCTATCTATCTATCTATCTATCTATCTATCTATCTATCTATCTATCTATCACTTTCACGCATTACAAACACACACATATAGCTAATGCTAAAGTGCTAGCTATAGTTTTTTAGTGTAAAGCAGGTTTGGAAGGGCCTCGAAAACTATAGGAGTTGAACCAGCTGGATTCCAATTGAAATCAAAACATTTCCCCTTCATTGTTTACACCATTAAAGAGTTTTTTGAGGAGTTTATGGTGAGTTTAAGTCTTCTGAACTTGTCCTCAGAGGACCGTTATGGTCCGAACTCAGTTTGATAGAAAGATATTTTAGTCCTAGCTAGCGTCACCATCCTAAAGTCAAACTGTCAGGAGGAACACACTTTTTTTTTCCTGTTGGCACACTTCGTGCGTTTCATGCATAGATGTGAAAACACCCCAGGGCTGTGTTTGTCACTGCAGATTCACTATCAAGACTCATTTTCATGTGGTAGACTATCACCGTGCTGCATGCTGGCTTATCTAACTAACTGATAAATAACACAGCCTGTCACCACGATAACAAGGTCAATTCAATAGGCTGACCAACAGCAATGTTTTCCCTAAAGCATTGAGCAGTCACATCTGACGCCAGCACTGACCTCCATGTTAATGAACAAAACAGAGAGAGAAAGAGAGAGAGAGAGAGAGAGAGAGAGAGAGAGAGCGCAAAATGAATATGAATGAAAGGCAAATCTACCAAAAACACGCCTCCTTTAAATAACCCCCTCCCTCGTTCCCCTCCTCCACCCTTCTCTCACACTCCCACACCTCCACCCTGTTATATTTTATTCTCCAACGCGTGGTGAATTTAATAAATATATGCTAATGTGTGCTGTGGAACATGACGAGTGCAAATCAGGCGAGGATGTTCTTTGAACGCTGCCGAGATTGAGGCTGAGAGCTGACCCTGGGTTAATCATTTTTCACTTCCCTATCGCATTCAATTCTGCTGGCTGTGTGTGTGTGTGTGTGTGTGCGCGCGCGATTGTTCATGCATGTGTACACATGTGTACTTCATGAGTGCACGCATGTGTGAAAATCAGTGATGTGCCGGTGGAGGCAAAACAAAATGCAAACTTTGAACACTTGGTTAGAATTATACAGTATTTACTTTTAACTATGGGCACATTGTGATGTTACTGCTGAAACAGATCAGGATTCTGGTTTATGAAAAGTTTGCTCCAGACACACTTCCATGGTGAGATCTTCGTACAATATGAAAAGACAGCCGCAGTTTTTATTAAAATTTCTAAAACTAAAACCCTGCTATAAGAAACCAGAGGAGACTGGTTTGGTGACATTTGTGAAAAATATAATTGGAATTGGAAAATTAAAACAATAATAATTGGACAAAGGAGCTAGTTAAATTGTAACTTTTATACCTGATAGTCTAACTACCTCAATAACACCTCCATTTTTTGAAAAAAGGCAAATTCTAATTTAGCAAACGTGTTACTGGTGAATGACATAAAACTACCTGTGTTCTAATCAGGGCTGAGGCTTTAACACATTCATTTTGGTTAATTAATTGCTAACAAAACAACCTTTTAGTTGCCTAACTTCTCACTGAAGCACACACTACAGCTCAACAGGTGGCAGTAATGAACCAAGGGTCAATTTGCCGCAGTGCTGCAGATGCACAGATTGTACTGAGTAACGTTAGCTCAAAATGAAGTCTGAATTAGTAATGGTTAAAGACCAGATCACGTCACTTTTTGAAGATCAAGCCTATGTTTCACCTCAAAGATGAAGTGTGTTTCTGTGGGTACAGAGGCTAGAGCTAACATTAGCATCCAGTCCAACCCCATAAAGACAAATAATTTATAAAACATTAAATATAAAAGCTTTAATTGGACTTAGAACTAGGATATTATCTCTGGATTCTAAATCCCAACATTTCAAGAAAATAAACACAGCATCATTGAAATATTTATGGAACAGCCCTTCAAATTAATAAAATATATTTTTACTTTTTTGTTATTTTTCTTAAGAAAGGAATAGTAAAGATTTATTCCAATTATTATAAATTTAGAGTTTAAAGAGAGAAGAGAGTTTAACAGATTAACATGTCCTTTCTTCCTACAGCCCAGATTGAAATCCTCTCTCAGCTCATCATGTCTATCTAAACCCCCTGTTTTGTCCATCTTTTGTCTCGCTGTAGTTACATTGTTGATTGTGGGGTAAAACAAGCGAATGCTAATATGCTATCAGTGCTGTAAACAGTCCAGGTGTGTAATGACGAC